CCTATCCGTATCAAATAGAGATTCTCAAATTGCATGTTTCAATGAAGGAAGGTCAGCCGAACAAATTTCTTTTCTATCAAATTTTCTCTTCCTTTTTCCCTGCACGCTGAAAATAAATGTTACTTTTTACACCAGGGGGGTCTTTTTTAATATATTAATATAAAAAATAAATAAAAAATTTTTTTGTGATGTTTTTATTATTTTAATATATTAATATAAAAAAGAAATAAGAGACTATCTTCGCGTCCCTTATCAATGAAGGAAGGTCAGCCGAACAAATTAATTTCTTATCAAATTTTCTCTTCCTTTTTCCCTGCACGCTGAAAATAAATGTTACTTTTTACACCAGGGGGGTCTTGGTATCATTTCAAGTGTTTTTAAAAATTCTATTTTTATTTTATTTTTTTGTGATATTTTTTTTATTTTAATATATTAATATAAAAAATAAATAAACATATTATTCTAACATATTTTTTATAGTCAATAAAAACAGCTTTGTTAATAACTATTAACAGGTGTTTAGTTTGAAGGTATGGTTAGTTTTTCGCATGGAATCCATATAAAAAACATACATTTTTCACTTTTATAAAATATAATTTATACTTTAAAAATATTATATCTTTAAACAAAACACCACATCTTCAAGTCAAACACAATTCAAAGTTTCGAACACATGTGCCTGAGTCACGTTGATTAGCATGCTTTAGTGGAAGGTTTTCAATCCAGTCCCAAATTTATATACCAATTTTCAATGGAAACGCAAACTTATAAATTTGTTCAATTACACCCTTTTGTCATATTGCATAGGCCGCAATGACATAGCGGATGGAAAAGTTAATGAAAACCAACATTTTCAGATCTAATAGGCATAAATATGGACTCAGGCTGGGGAATAAATCGAGATTTTCCCTTTATAAAACGAAGGAAACCCACGCGTCCGCGGGCGCGCGCGCGCACCTAAACAACCATACAGCAATAAAAAGAAAACGCTGCGTTTCATTGTGCGCATGTTGGCTGTCACCGAAGAACCAAACAAACCAGCATCACACAGCACAACGGCCAAAACTGAAAACTCTACTAAAAGCGGGAAAATAGAACTGCCCTTGTGAACCCCGCAATTCTTTTTCACAATCTCACAAACCAACCTAAAAGGCTAAAACTACTATATTACTTACTGATTATTATGGAGGCGGAGACGGCGGCGGCAAGGCACCATTGCTGCGGAGCTTACAACCAGGGGTGGGGAAATAGTAACTAAAATATCTCTTCCTTATTTGATGTAATTTAATTAAATCTGGGTTTATTTTCATGTTTAAAATACTGATTTATTATTCCTTATTTTGGCAGTCGACCAAAGCAAGTAAAAGATGAAGCTCACCAACACGAGGTGGTTCGCGTCCTCACTAACACTCTTGAGACTGCAAATGTGAGCGTGCGTGCGAGAGAGAGAGAGAGATTCTCACTATCAACTACTCTTCATTTTTATCCTATATGCTATTTATTCATTTATTTTTATCAGTGATTTAGTTTCGTTTAGTTTGAAACCCTAGGTCTAGCACTCTTCTGTTTATGATTGTTATTGTTTGTATTTTTTCTCCTTGACATGCTTTTTTATGGCCCACCTGGTACCGGCAAAACCACCCCTGTCGTTGCTATTGATCACCAGCTTTACGGGTAGTTATAATTTTACAGCAGTACTCTCTGTGTTTGGGTGATGAAAATTTTTCTATAGATAGCTGAATTACCAAGTTGATTCGATATTTTAGTGGTTAATCAGATACTTAGAAGTGGTCGCATGCGGGAATGCTAGGGCCTTAACTGTCGAACCCTTTCTGCTGTTGATGAGAAATATGTAATCATTTAATTGGAAATTGGAATAGGATGCTACTATCTCTGAAGGTAATGAATCCCTTTGGGAAAATGTGCCTATTGGGACTTTTAAGCTGAAAAAACTTAGGCATTAAATCTTTAGCTGAACTTGTTGGAGTAAAATGGATCTGATGTTTAACTGAATGACTTTCTTTTAGAGACATGCTTGCTACAGGGTTCAGCACTCGGTCCATAAAGTTGTTAAAAGATATTATTTCTTCTTTTTACTGACTTTATATTGCCATCTTGAAGATGTGAATTGATCTCTGGTGCCTTTAGATCATTTCTAGATGCTATCTCGTGAAAAAACTGACATGTGAAAATCTTACAGATTAGTTCTGGTGATTTCATGCCTCCTATCATTTTGACTGCTGCTATTATCATATTAGATTGTAGAGTCTGCTTCCCTTTAATATGTGAAAAAATTTGATGCCATTCAGGAACATATTTAGCATGTTAATTCCTTCATGTCTTAGGCCTGAACTCTACAAGTCTAGGGTTTTGGAACTAAATGCAAGTGATGACTGTGGAATCAATGTCGTTCAGACTAAGATCAAGGATTTTGCTGCTGTGGCTATAGGTTCTGGTCAGTGTCAAGGGTCTATACATTCTTCTTCTTGCAGTAACTTTTGTATTCCACTCAGGACATAATTGCACTTTGCCCTTCATGTTTCTTTCCAATGCTTTAGGGGTTACCCTTGTCCACCATATAAGATTACCATCCTAGACGAGGCAGATTCTATGACTGAAGATGCTCAGGCATGTTTCTTTTGTTCTTTTATGATGGTTTATTTACAAATATAATGTAAAGTGCATGGATATCACCTCATTTGGCATAATGCCCTGAGACTTACAGTGGAAACTTTCTCCAAAGTTACAAGATTCTTCTTCATATGTAATTACATCAGCAGGTGAGCCATTTTGTCATACAATATGTCATTACAAATAGTTTGATGATTGTTGGAGATTCTGCCATGATTAAGTTTATAACTGTTTATAACTGCTCTCCTTGGGCACAGAGTACCCGTGCCGATAATTATCTGATCTAAATGGCCTCCATCTTTCATTGGCTTTCCTTACAAAATGAGTCATTGTATGGTTCATCAATGTAGTGATGCTTAGATGCACTGATGATTCCTCTTCAAATTTCTTCCTATGAACTCTTGGCCCTTGGGTTGTTAGTCCTAATCCATTAACTTTTTGGGTAGAAAAAAATATTATTGCATGATTTCCTCCCATAATTTAGGTGATTGTGATTCTTGCAGGATCATAGCGCCACTTGCATCAAGATGTGCAAAATTCAAGTTCAAGCCACTTTCAGAAGAAATCACGAGCTGTCGTATATTGCACATTTGTAATGAAGAAGGCCTCACTCTGGACGCAGAGGTATGCAAAGCTTGTCACATTCATTCCTATTTGTTCGGTGGCTTGATTTCCTAGCACAAAGCATGTGATCTACCACTGTAGGCTCTCTCAACCTTGAGTTCTATCTCACAAGGTGATCTTCGCCGGGCTATCACATACTTGCAAGTAAGGGATGACCCCCCCCCCCCCCCCCCCCCCCCTCCCC